CTCCACCAGATCATCATCACAAAAAAAAGCCTCGAGTCAGGAGTGATCGTCCAGTTCAGTACAGTGCTCACATGCTTAGTGATAAGAAATGGAAAGAAGTTGATGAAAATGATGAAATTGAGGAAGTTGCTCGTTTAATTTCTGCTGTTTATGAAAAAGCTTCTGGTTCTGAAGATCTTCGTACTGCAGTAGCTGCATCATCATTATACAAAGTAGATTCATCACTGAGCCTTTCAGAATTATCTGGTCAAGAAATTCAAAAAAAAGAAGTTGATTCATTTCTTGCAAAAGCAATAAAACGTGCACAAGAGATTGAGCAAGTGCCAATACAAGATATAAAGGCTCAGCCGTTTATGCACATTTGGGATTGTGGAGGGCAGGCAGTGTTTTTGGAGATTCTTCCAGCTTTTCTTACACCACGCACGCTATTTTTCCTCATATTTAATGCAGCAAAGAGTCTTGATAAGAAATGGGAAAATATTCGTAATACAAAGGGAAATATGATATGCGATAATTTAGAAAGCATGTCCACTAAAAATCTGCTTTTCAACTGGATAGCAAATATTCATCATCACTTGGCCCAATTAGATGAAAGAGGAGCCTTTCTCAGTTATCCTCGTACTTATTGTATTGGTACACATGGTGACCAGATAAATCCTGATGAGCAGAGAGCTGCTATTAAAAATATAGAAAGTGCTTTATACCAAAATAAAGCTTTTTCTGACTTAATAAAGAAGGTGCTAGTTGTTGATAACACAACTGCTGGAAGCTGTAACGAAGACCAAAATTTTTCAATTATTCGAGAAGAAGTTAGCGACTTCACCTGCAATGAGCTAATTGTCAAGACGCCAGTGAGCTGGGTGCTGTTTCGTAAAGTTATTAAAATGCTTGACAAGAAATTCATTAGTTTGAAGGAGGCTCATAGAATTGGTTTAGCATGTAAGATCCCCCACAATGATGTTCCTAAAGTTCTCCTTTTCTACCATGATCTTGGAGTTCTCCTTTACTATCCGTTTATCAAGGGTCTTCAAAATATAGTTATTACAGACCCTCAGTGGTTTGTTGAAACTCTTGGAAAAGTCTTTACACTTGAGGGCAAAGAAAATCAAGATGCAACACAAGCTAGATCAATGTGGAGCTTATTACGTGAAGAAGGTATCCTTGTCCAGCCATTGTATCAAAAGGTTTGGAGAGATTATAAAGAAATTAAGCCTGATGACTTGATGGAGCTGTTGGTTCATTTTCGACTTGCTGCTGAAGTTAAAACAGACCGATACTATATTAAAAATGTTAAGCAATATTTCCTACCTGCTGTGCTAAAGTTGTATGATATTTCATCTCCACTATCAATTTCTGATGATCAGCCAGTTGCCCGAGCAACTAACCTCCACATCACTTTTGGCACCAATTTTGTTCCTCCTGGCTTCTTCACTCGTTTTATTGCATCATTCGCCAATGCCTCATTGTATGAAATCTTTTTTGAAAAAAAGTGTGTGTTTCGAAACCGTATCATGTTCGGAGACCCAAATATCACGATTACTGTCACTGATCTTTGTGATACTATTCAAGTTAGCGTTGAATTTTACACTAGCACATCTTTCAGTAATACTTGCCAAGAGTTAAAAAAATTAGTAGAAAGTTGTTGCAACAATGTAGATGAAGCTCTAGCTACTCATTGTAAATCTTCGAAAACAATCGAAATAAATAGGAAGCTTCGCTATGAGTGTACAGCATGTGGTACTTATGAGCGTCATTACATTATTAGCCCTGCTTCAGGCCAAACAGCTGATTCACTTCTTCAGTGTCAAATAAGTAAAACACGGCGGCGACCAACTCTTGAAGAATCATATTGGTTTCCTGAAGGAGACAAGACAGCTCAAAATGTGAGCTTAAAATCAAAAATTTTTATTTTATTTTTTGGCAGGTACCAGTGTCTATTAGTCAGCAAGAAATGCTTACCATATCACAAAGAGCCAGTGACAAAGCTGATTCTGTGGCTGCAGGCTTGGATATGCTTCAGAGGTTGAATGCACTTCGACTAGATCATCACAATAATCCAATGCTTCATTTGCTTTTTGAGTGGAATAGGGGAGGAGGATGTAGGGAAGACTTAGTTAAAACTCTTAAGGATGTTAACCTTCATAAACTTGCTGATCAGTAAGTGTATAAATTTTTGCATTATTTATTTTCTAATGATTAAATCTAGAGTTCAAAACTCCAGTTACACAGAATTACCTAGACCTGTCACAGCTGTCAGTGTAAGTAGTAGTACATTCATATTAGCTTTTAGTGCATTGTATTATACCGTATAGCGCTTTAATTTGCATTCGTGGATTGATAAAAATCAATTTTTTGTAGAAATAATTTTTGTGGATTTGCAATGTTAGTGCCACACCTTTAATGGCAATTGAATATTTAGTGAATCTTTAATTTCATGGTTGCATGCTAACCTACAAAAGCAGCAAAGGTTTTACTCCTCAAAAATATAGTTACTATAAATTAATAATTTATAGTAATAATAATAATTATTATTATAGTAATAATTATAGTAATAATAATAATTATAGTAATAATTATTGTGACATGCTTGTTTACATCTTGGAAATGTATAAAAATTGATTAAAATAATAGTGTATACAGTTGATCATAATCAAAGTTTTATGCCTGTCACTGTAATGCTTCTGTATGATGTAAAAAGGTGCATCAGAACAAATTAAACTATAACTTCCTATTCTGATTATTATGTTATGCACCATAGGTTAGTAGCACAGGTTCTCAACAAGCATTTGACCAACCTTTAGTCATTGAGTCTTCTTCAGGTACTGAAACAATTGAGTTTCAAGCTACAGACACTCATCAAAAT